CCAAAATAGTCATTTATGAGCTCATTAATGGGACAAATTGTAGGCCTGTGTCAGTAAAGGGTGGGTCTGTGAAAAATTACTTCCATCGACTTCTGTAGCAAGAAAAAAAATACAATGGAAGTCAATGGGTGCATTTTTCAAAATATCTTCTTTCATGTTTTCATGTTCAATGGAAGAAAGAAACTCAAAGCTTTAAAACAACAGGTGGGTGAGTCAATCATGAGGTAAATAAAATTTTGGGGTGAACCATACTTTGAAATATTCTAATTTGGAAATATTCCAACATATTTGTTATTGTAGATTCATTACATAAATTGCCTATAAATACATTAAGCATGTATAAATAATGTGTATATTGCATCATGTAAATGATTGGAATGTTTGTTTGGAATATGGATTCATTTTTGTAATATTATACAATATATTCTTATCTTTAGAACAACATAATTCTTAAGTATATGACCAAATTTAAATAATATAATAACATTCTTATATTTTCACATTAATCATCATACATACGTGCAAAGTTATATAGTTATTTAATATTTTATTTTTCATTGTTAAATTATATAGTTATTTTTTACATAATCTAAAAATATTAAATATTTAAATGACATACTATATGTTATTATCATATATCTGTTTGATGGTAAACAGTGTTGTGACAAAAAGCAAATTGCGACGAAGGTGAAAGATTGATGTGCTCTAACATTTAATGATCTGTTATGGATCTGTCACTTTAACATGTTTTGCCCTTTCCTTTAGAGCATAATAGAGCAGTTCAACCCGAGCCTGCAAAGACTGGTGTCACTGGGAAACAGCTACATTCAGGCTTTCCAAGGCAAGTGAATATTATAAAATTGTAAAGTAGACAGACTTTAAAAAGAAAAGGAAGAAAATAGAAAACTGAGAGGCTGAACTTTGATCTGCCGGTTGTCATTGATGATAATAAGTCAGCAATGCTGCGACGTCATTGGCTTATTCGACATCATTGTTTAATGACTGTCTATTTTATGAGTCTGGAGTTTCACTAACTCAGGGACGTTGAAGCGGCACTCGACATGTGCGTCAGTAGCTTTGATAGACGTAGTTTCTGTAGAAATCTGTAATCTTTTGAAAAGATGACTGTTGAACAACACTCCATTCACTTGATGCTTATCTTTCAATTGACAAACTAAATTGAGTTCATAGCTGTTTGGTCACAGGACAATAACACACACACACACACACACACACACACACACACACACACACACACACACACACACACACACACACACACACACACACACACACACACACACACACACACACACACACACATTACTTCACTTGGCCAAAAGGAAATAAGAAATTTGATCAAATTTAAAATTGTAAAATCCAAAACTATATAAAAAGTACTCAGGAGTAGCTTAATTACTGTAATGTATCGCTGCTCATTGGGTTCATCAGAATAAACAGCAAAAGAAAGTAGAAGACAAAAATGTGGGAAAAAAATAATAATAAAAAGCCTTTATTGGTATGGCTAGTCCTTTCCTTTTGCTATTTAAATTTAAAATGTAATTTTTTTTCGAAACAAGGCAAAAAAATTTCAGTCAAATTTTAAATGCACTTTTGCGTATAAATTACATATTCTAAGATTTTTTAAAAGGTTGGTTTATCAAAAATTACATTTATGCACCATTTATGTCATTCAGACCTGTATTAAAGTAAAAAAGGCCACTGTTGACAATAATAGTAGCTTCAGAAATAACAAAAAAGCTAAGAAAAACGACCTTAAAATAGTTCAGGACTTTTAAATTTCCCTTACCACAGCCTTCAAATGTAATTCCCAGCCGCATATTTTAAAAATAGTTTTCAAAATAGATTTAAAAGAAAATATGAATATTGAAATATATTGTTTATAGTAAAACATCAAAAATGCAGCAAATTTAAATATGCACATATTCAAATTTGTAAAGTATTTAGATTTGGTCACTACAGTGGAGAGGAAAGGAGGATTAAGAGTAAATAAATGACAAATTTATATATGAAATATATTTATATTCTTAATATTTATACATGTATGGGCGTTTCCCAGTGATGGGTATCCACTGCGTAAAACATATGCTGGATAAGTTGGCTGTGCGTTCCACTGTGGCGACCCCTGATCAATAAAGGGACTAAGTCAAAAAGAGAATGAATTAATGAATATTTAGATATTAAAATATTTAAAAAAATAAATCTATTTCAAAATGTTTCATTTGTTAACATTAGCAAACAAAATTTATTAACATCAGTTTTATACATTTTCTTTTCAATTCATATGTTAACATGAGCAAATCTGTCAATAAACAATATGATCAGTTGTAATGTGCATATTTTATACAGCGCGTTTATTGTGTATGGCCATACACCCAAAGCACTTTACAATCATGAGCGAGGAGTCTCTCCACACCTCCAACTGTGTGCAGCGTACACTTGGATGATGAGACAGCAGCCACAGGACAATGACACCAGTGCGTTCACCACACACTAGCTGTAAGGGGACTGGAGTAACAGTGATAGAGCCAATTCGATCACATCAGTTGTTCACATCACATTTTTAGGTAAAACCACGGCCATTAGTGATTTATAAGTGCAAGCACAGGCCAAACAACGTTAATATCCATAATTCCTGATGAAGCATTGAGATCTCATGAAGTAAAACAATTGGTTTGTGCAAGAAAACGAACATTATTTTACAACATTATGGTTAATAAATGATTTAAGTACATGTTAATGAAACCTTACAATAATGTAGGCTAAGCAATATTGAAATGATCAGAATATTGCAAATGTACATATGTAAGAAGTTACTGGACCCTGATTCAAATGTTTTTTTTTTAATTTTTTTTATTTATTCCTGATTGTTCTTGGTATTTTCAGGTTGATAAAATTTTTCACTTCATTTCATTTGGTGATTTTAATTTTATCCATTTATTTTTGTTTATTTACATTGTTAAAATGTCTGATTTATTTTATGCAACAGTAAAACATTGCTGTACATTTTCAGAAGTTGCAGTGATGCTTTCTTTTCCCTGAAATATGAAACTTATATTGGTTTTATAATTTTCCTAAATTCCATATTGATTAAAATTGCATTATTTAACATGCTATCATAAATTACATTTTTCTTAAATAATCGCAAAGCCCTACTGTAAAGTCTTAAATCTACAATGTTCTTTCTTTAGAATTTATTCATTAGGATGTTCAAAGACTGTAATATCAGTTTAAACAATGTTAGAAATCAAACATACAATGATAAATTTATTAAACCTGTCTGTCTCTACAGCACTTGCTGCCACCAGCGAGGCCTATTTCGATGCTCTGTCTAAGATGGGTGAACAGGCCATGCTGAGCAGGTCCTCACGTTTACTGGGTAAAGCTTTTAATTCCCACCCATTTCAAGTTCGTTCACACTCCTTAGCTTTAATATTACAGCAGGATACGTTTCTGTCGAAGTCAGATTTTCGATATACTGTTCATTTTCTTGTTTTCTGATGAATATGTACTTTCCATACAGAGCAGAAAGTGAGAGCGAGAGAGAGTTTTGCGTGTGTGTTTATTGAGGGTGATAAATTGGGAAGGAGTCTGTGTCCTTCACACACTATATTGTACTTTGCTCTTGTAAATGCACTCAGTTCCTCACTGAATCTCACACACACACAAGAGAGAAAGAGAGAGAGAGTGAGCGTGTGTGTGTGTGTGTGTGTGTGTTTATTTATGGCTGGCATCTCTCACCCTGTTGTGGTTTAATGGAAAAATTTCATTAAATTTCAATGGTGCTTTTGTTGCTATGAATCATATTTTATGACTGCAGAGAGGTGGCATGACTGTGTGTGTAGTCAATATCAGATAACCTCCTCTGTGATGTTAAATAATAAATGATGACACAACGTCAGCTTGGCAGTGCAACCTTTAGAGACTAATACCTTTACTTTAACACACAGACAGATACTATGGATGTTATAAGATCATAAATGAAAACTTCTCTTTTACTCGTGCGTTTGCTTCGCAGGTGATGTGTTGATACAGATGTCAGACAGTCAGAGGAGACTCACCAACGAGCTGGAGGGAGTGGTCTGTTATTCATCCTTGACTATCGATCCATCGTTTGATATCTTCTGTTAGCGTGTTGTTGACAATGCACGTTTGATTGGGTGTACAGTCAACCCCATGTTTAATGAGTCTGTGTGATTTGATTCAGTTTCGCTGGTTCCACTCGGAGGTCCTTCAAGAGATGGACAACAATGTCAGATTGGATAAAGATTACATATCGGTGAGTTTTATAGAGGCAACATCAGCCCTCCTGTGAATAAATATTTGTCAAACATTTCCTAGGTGATTTAACATGGCAAGGACAATTCACAGTATTTCCCTTTATATGTTTTGTGTACAGTGAAAGTAATTTTGTTCACTGGATAAGGTCAAAGTTATTAGTGCATTTAAGAAACCTTTTTGATTTGATTGGCTACAGAACAAACCACTCTTGTCCAATGAGTAGCCTAACTGATCTAATTAAGCACTTTAACATAAATATATTGAATAATGAATTGTAATTAAACATATAGACTGTAAAAATGGCAACTAATAAAATGTTAGAATGCTAGCTCTCTGCAACTCTCACATGGTTGCCCGGTCATTACCTGGATGGGAGACCACATTGGAAAGCCAAGTTGTTACCGGAAGTGGTGTTGGTGAGACCAGTAGAGGCCGCTCAACCTGAGGTCTGTATGGGTCTTAATGCCCCAGTATATTGATGGGCACTCTATACTGCTCAGTGTGGGTCATTTTTCGGATGAGATGTTAAACCAAGGTCCTGACTCTCTGTGGTCGTTAAAAATGTCCTTCAAAAAAAGAGTAGTGGTTTAACACCGGCATCTTGGCCAAATATTCCAACTGCTCTTTATCCATCATGGCCACCTAACTATCCCCATATTTTAATTGGCTTCATCACTCGTTCTCCTCTCCACCAATCAGCTGGTGTTGGGTGTGCGGTTTGGTGCAATATGGCTGCCATCATGTCATTCAGGTGCACATTGGTGGTGGATGAGGAAATTCCCCCAATAAGTAAAGCACTTTGAGTGTCCAGAAAAAGCACTTCAGTATATAAAAATGTAGGGAAATAAAAAAAGCTAAACTATGCAAGCTTAATTGATATTCATGCTTGGGCCAAGAAGACAGTGATCTGCATGAAAAGTCTTCACAAATATACAGTACTTTAAAATTGCAAAATAAAGGTTAATTTTAAATCTAATCATTAAGAAAAGCTTAAAACAAAAACACTACCTGTGTCATAATATTTTAAAAGTTGGAGTCAGATTTGGGCTAACTAAACTAAAATAACCATTTATGTATTATTTTAAGAAGGAAACTAAACTTTTTAAAAAATGTGGAAAAAGCTTGTAATAACTTGCTAATTTTATAGTGCATTTAAGGTGTAAATACTGGTTCTGTTGTTAGATTTATTTGCTAAAGTCCTTATTCTATACATCTAAAAACTCTAAGGGCTCTATTTTGATGATCCATGCGCAAAGTGCAAAGCGCAAGGTGCAAACGCATTAACTGCAGTTCTTTTACTATTTTAAGGACGGAAAAATCCGCTTTGTGCTGTGGCGCATTGTCTAAAAGGGTTGAGCTTATTTTCTTAATGAGTTATAGGCAGACATCAATTAGCCTACAAATAATTGATTTAGTTTGTTAAGCGCAAAGATTTGATTCCAAACTATTTCTAAATTCAGTTCTAATTTCCAGCAAACGAATAAACGAACAATATTAACGAAGTGTGTTAAAAAACCTGAGTTATATCCAAATACACATGCTGTGCTCCATATGGTCTAAAACTTGACAAATAGGCAAATCTAAGCGTGTTTAATATGGATATAATAAATAATACTGCTAATAATAATAATAACATCATTATACAAAAGCAAATTTTTTTGAATAAATGGAAAAAGCCCCTGAGATGAAGAAAGCATAAAAGTATTTGGTTTTTTATATTTATGTAGGCTAGAAAATAATATGTTTTGTAATATTTTAATCCTTTATATTTATATCCTATATATATTCTTATTATATCCTATATATATTTTTAATATTTTGATAATTTTTCATATGTAAAGATATTTGCAAATTGCTCTACATCTTGTTTGTATTAAGTAGTGTTTAAGCGAGGCGCATAACTAACGTGCTCTGCCCTGGACTTTAGACTGGCTTTGTTCCCGTCTAAAGAACAGACTATTATAGTTTCTCAAAATAGCAACGCGTCAGCAATGCGCCTCAAAATGCCTCCTTTTTTAGACTAGAACGTCTATGGGCGCACATGAGCACAAATGCATTTGCTATTTAAACAGCATGGCGCAAAACGTCAAAACGACTCTTGCGCCAAGCTGAAACTAGCAAACAACTATTGCGTCGCGCCTTGTGCCACATTGCACGGAGTGTATGATAGGGCTCTAAATATGATTGGACTGAAATCAATCTGCATGTTGAAACTAAAGGTTGACTTTCTCCTCCAGACCAGCAGGAGGAGATATGAGATGGAGGTGAGAAACCAGGCAACAGCACTGGAGAGACAGATGAGGCGAGGAGTACCGCAGGTCAGAGCACGTTTATCAATGTACATGAGGACATGTGCAGATTTTAAAAGGCATTTTTTTGAAAATCTTATAATCATTTAACAATGTACAAGCTGACAAAACGTTTGTCACATACCATACTTTATAAAAAAAAAAAAAAAAAGATTTGAAAGCAAAAAGAGTGGTAACACCATCATAAGAGTGATGTTATTGATTTTACATAATAGTTAAGCAAATAAGAAGTGAATACTGAAGGTTACATTTTAGACACAATATCGTCAGTTTTTGTTCTGCAAATAAAAAGTTTTAAACATAGCCAGGGCAGAATGTTTGTTCTTTTCTGAGAATGAATCTATTTTTGAATGAATCAGTTGAATCGTTGATTCTTGATCCAGTTTCAGTGCTTGTTTATTTGCCTCTTACAATACCTCCAACAAAAGAAGCTTTTTAGTGCTAGCCTGAAGCCAAGCATCATTATCTTTCATGATGGCGGTGGTAATGGCTAATCAACATGAGTTATGTTGATGGTTTTGTTTGTGTTTAGGATGGCAGTGAATATGTGCACTTTCTCAAGGAGTGTCAGAAGGAGGCGTTAAAGGAGGAGGAAAGGCGATATCGATTCCTGGCGGAAAAACACTGTGGGCTGACTCAGTCTATTGCTCATCTCATGAACAAGGTTAATATCATTCATTTTCATTAGTGTCCAAACTGTTTAATGTGTATTGGAGAGCTCTGGGCTGTAATCAAGGTGATGCTATACTAGGGAAAATCTATGATTAAAATGACTTCTCGCGATTGAACTTAATGTGTTAGTGTAAAAGCATTCCATCTCAATTTTGCCAAGTTATGTGCAATTCTTTAAAGAGAAAGTTTACCCAAGAATGTAAATTTACTCACCCTTAAGTGGTTCCAAAACTGTATGAGTTTCTTTATTCTGTTTAACACAAAAGCAGTTATTTTGAAGAAAGGTGAAAAACTCTAACCACTGACTTCCAAAAATACTATGGATGTCAACGGTTATAGGTTTCCAACATTCTTCAAAATGTCTTCTTTTGTCTTCAATAGAAAAAAAGAAAGTCAAACAGATTTGGAACAAGGGTGAGTAAATGATGACATTTCTTTAAATTTTAAGTTTTATGCTTTAGAAAACTGGCTATAATCATTTTTGTTTGCCTAATATCAAATTGCTTAGAGCTAAATTTTGTCCATATTTTTTTTTGTCTGATGTGATTGTGTTTAAATGACTCCCACAGACAGGGGGCAGCCTGCAAAACAGAGCAGAGGGGTGGAAAGATCTGGTGGATCACACAAGAGAATCCCGTTCACGCACTCCTTCACGGCTGGAGGACAACATTGTGAGAAATAGTAACATTTAACCCAAAAACCCTTTTGCCCTAAATAATGATACAGTCAATAGATGAGTTTGTTGAAACTCACATTTCCATTTCTTTCTGTTAGCCTGATGTTAACCGCTGGGCAGAGCAGCCGCTGGGCACAGTGCCCTCTAGAGGTGTGAAGACTTTATTCTGACATGCAAACAAACATCTGATGAACATTAAACTCCTTGTTTAAGTTCAGTATAACAAACTTTCACCTCTTTTTCTCAGGCCCTTCCCCTCAGCCCAGTCGTTCCAACTCAACTTCAGGACAGGCTGGAGCCAGAGTGATGCGTGCACTGGTGCCACACCCACCTTCTGCAAACTCCACCCTCCTGCCATTCGCCAAAGGAGAAAGCATTACACTTCTCGTCAAAGAGCCAAGGAACGGCTGGCTGTTTGGACGCGCTGACAGCTCTGGACGGTGAGAACACTTTCACACCATAATCCATGTTTGCACAACACAGTTTTCAACAAAAACAAAAAAGATGTAACATGGCTGTTCATTTACACAACAACTTTGTTTTGAGAACCATTTTAAAAGTGCAAGGTACTACCAAAAGTACATACAGTGAACAAGACCATTTGTGTGATGACTTGTAGCCAGCTTGGTGAAAGGGGTGGCTCTTTATTTCTCAAAAAATTGACCTGTTTTACAATTACTTGCAATTTTCTATTTAATTATGATGTTTAAATACATTAAGCACTATTTTTTAGCTGAATTAGCTTGTCAGACGGTCATCAACCACACTTTTTTATGTACTTAAAATATTTGCTAAAGATTTAGAATAAATAAATATTTTTTGAAAAATAATAATATAATAAAAAATATTTTTAAAATACAAATTTTGCCTATTGTTATTAATAAAGGCAAATTAAAAATAGCAAACAATCAGCACATTCAACTTTCCTTAGTCAGAATTTGACCATTGGAATAATAATAATAATAATAATAATAATGTTATAATAGAGCTTTACAATTTTTCTAGCCTTTGTAAAAACAAAAAAAAGGACATTAGAAAATTAATGGATAACATCAATAGCCAAATTAGTATTCACATTATTTTTAAAATGGTTCGCTATTGGTGCTTTACAGCTTTTTATTGCTCATTTTTCGTTTCAAGAATAAGGTCCAAAATTTAGAATAAAAGTTACAGTTAAAAAGTTAAAAGTAAAATTTTTCTCCATTTAAAACAATACAGTAGCGAAAGATAAACTAAATATTGCATGTTTTCTTGCAGCTGGATGTTAGACTTATGATAAATAATTGTTTGCATTGGTCAAAACGGATTAGCTGAAGTCATAACAGTCAACAAAGGTCTTAGAGCCTTATTGATCAGTCTTAAAGCCTTATTGATGGGTTATTATTTCACTCATTATGATGGCATATGTTTGGGACAAATTCTGGACATTTGTCAGTGAGAAGTGGCTCTTTCGATCCACCTGAACACTCCCTGGCGACAGGCCTGGAAGAGGTGTAGTTTAAAAAAAAATATATACAGTTGAAGTCAGAATGATTAACCCACCTGAATTATTAGCCCGTTTATTTTTTCCCCCAATTTCTGTTTAACGGAGAGAAGATTTTTTCAACCCATTTCTAAACATAATAGTTTCATAACTCATTTCTAGTAACTGATTTATTTTATCTTTGCCATGATGACAGTAAATAATATTTGACTAGATATTTTTCAAGACACTTCTATACAGCTTAAAATTGACATTTAAAGGCTTAACTAGGTTAAATAGGCTAACTACTGTAGGCAGATTAGGGTATTTAGGCAAGTTATCAAATAACGATAGCTTGTTCTGAAGACTATCAAAAACAAAATTATCCTAAAAGAGGCTAATAATTTTGACCTTAATGAGTTTTAAAAAAAACTAAAAACTGCTTTTATTCTAGCCGAAATAAAACAAATAAGACTTTCTCTAAAAGAAAAATATATATCAGGCATACTATGAAAAATGTCCTTGCTCTGTTAAAAATCATTTGGAAAATATTTAAAATAGAAAAAAATAATAATAATAAAATCAAAGGGGCTAATAGTTCTGACTTCAGATGTATGTATATTTTTTATAAAGTGACATTACCTGGCCTGACATGTTAAATACATGCATATGTAAAAATGTATTACATCTTAATGTGAAAATTATGACCATTCACAAAATGTTTTTTTGTGAATATTTTTTTATATGTCAGCAGTATGGAAATGCTTTTCAAAAATGTGAAGGAAAAAACAACTTTTTTTTTTTTTTTTGGAACATCGGCATTAAACTTTTGATGGCTATGCACATGGAAACACAGGAGATAATACAAATGAGATAAAAGGTACGGTAATTATTTGATAACTCCAATAAATACATTCAAACATGTAGAAGAACATGAAGACAATATATACCTGCCAAAGAACTGAAGTAATAAGAGGAATAAATAGAAAGACTGATCATTAACTAATGTGCACATTGATTGATTTTCACTGTGTAGAAAATTTTGAACTAATAATTATATTATCCAGTAAAAAAAAAAGTTAAAAATCTAATGACTTGGTTGTAAATTACCTTAGGTTATACAGTATTAGCTAATTATCTGATCAAAAGATAAATTTAAGTAAATTTATAAAGAGTTCATTTCAAATCAAATCAATTTCATTCATATCAATATCAAATGTATAAAGAGTGCATTTAGTGCCACATTCATTAGTTTAAGCATCATTTACAGTATCAAGTTGAAGTTAAAGTTCAGTAATTATCTTACTCCAACCAGGCAACAAAAGTTGGCAACCCTCCACATAATGAAATGACAGCATTCTCCTCATTAACACACTCCTTACACACACTCATACACCTGTACAACTATCTTTATGGGGACTTACCACAGACAGTGATTTTTATACTTTACACCCTGTATAGAATGTAAACACAAATTTGTGAAACACTCAGTATTTTTATCAATTTCAAAATATTTCAATATTTGTGGTAGGGCTGCAAAATTGTTTTAGCATGGATATTGCAATGTGAAAGTCTGCAATTAATTAAATTCTCTTTATTTCAGACACTAGGTCCAATAGTACAAAAGACAAACAAACAAAACATTACACACCACTTGATATACCTTTAAAAAGACATTCATGCCAATATTTCATTAAAGGTGACTGAAAACGCACCTTAGTAAGCCTAGGGTTTATCAATAACTTTAAAGTGCTATTCTGAGAATTCTCCAACATACATATACATTTATAGATCAAATTTCTCATCAAATGATCAAAAAATAATAATTATCAAACTCTTACATTCCAAAAAAAAAAAATCACTTGCAATACACCATCTATGTTTTTAAAGAGGAATCCTTAAACAATCATTGTATGCAAGCTGCAACTTATGGAGACTTTTTTTTTTTAGTTATACCACAGAGGAACTGCAGTAAGTTCTAAAGAGGTTTACCTTAACATGCTTCAAACACAAATAAAACTCTCACCAGCATATTTGCTTGAACATATAACTTTTAATGTTCCCTGTACAATATCACCATCAACACTCATGTCTTCAATAATGACATGCCCTAAACATTTAACAGTTGTACTAACATTTAACACTTCACAATTAACACATCTCTATGTTCTTTGGTTCTTGTTCATGTAATCATTAAAAAGAGCAGGTGGATAGTGGAAAACATAAAAATTTTACCCTTAGAGTCAAAGTTGATAATTTGCATGTGTATTTTAGAGCCTGACAGTAAGAATTTGAAGCAAACTTGAGCCATGTGGGCACAATAAGTGAAATGTTTTTAACTAAAAAGACTAATTGAATATTATATAATTACATACTCGATTAAAACAGTAGTGTTAATATTATTAATATACAGGCATTAATTATATCTGCTTCTGAATACTGCTTGACTCCTCAATCATCATAAACTATTTATTTGCATCTTTTGTTTGTTGTATTTAACTATACTTGTCGTTTTTATTAAATTATATTTTATGCACATATGCTCCCCTACAGAATCATCCCAATCGATCTAAAATTTTGTATTAAATTACACAATTTATAACATCAATTATAAATGTACAATTTATAATATCTAAATTGCAGTGAATGTAAATATTGCAATATCGTTTTTCCAATATCGTGCAACACTAGTGTGTGGTTTATGTGCCATTTTTCTCATTTAGACCAAACCAATGTCCCCACAAGGTAAAAATGTACTGGTACACTAAACAATACTTGTAGACATCCATGCAGGCGCACACACACACACACATTCGCTTTCTCCCTCTTGACTATCTCTTTCACTCTCTCACACACACTCAAAGACAGCTCACCTGATTTAGTCTCCTGATCATTTGATCTCCATTGTTCAGGCAAGGCTGGTTCCCTGCTGCTTACGTGGGCCTCACAGATGGACCACCTGGACCACCTGTTCCCAGGTAAGCGGACACTGCACATTTCCTAGCAGCTGCGCATCTGAGCTGCAGTCTCATGACCTCTGACCTTGCTCTCTGTTCAGCAGCAGCTCTTTTAGAAGAAGCAACAGTATGAACAATCTCCTGGACCAGCCCTTCAGCAGCAGCCAGCAAGCAGCTCCACCTGCGCCTGCGCCTGCACCTCCACCACCACCACCTCCATCAACCAGATCCAGCAGCTCCAGACCGGTCACTCCGACTCCTTCAGAAAACAGAGTAAGAGCTCTTCATATTAACATGCTCACAGTTTTTGTTCAGAATTGGGATGCATTTCTATGGAAGCTTGTTCCCTTTATGGGATAAAATGTCAGTTAGAAATGTAGAGAAAAAGAGATGTAACACACTAAAAGTGCTCAAAATTGCAATTACCTGAAATCTTTGTAGTTTTATTATTGAAATGTAAATACATTCAATTCAGCCTAATTTAAAAAGTTTTTTTTATTAAAAAGGCTGGATTTTATTTTGCATATTAAACTATGAACGGTGATCTATAAGACTTTAAATGAAAGATTATGAAAGCAAACTGTCTTTGGAATAGTCTACACTAAAACATTTCATATTTAAAGCACTGAAATATATTAGGATTCTGATTCATGTTGACTGCAGGATAATTTTCACATGTTCTCATGAAAAAAATTCAATAAAAATTTGCATGCAGCAGCTGTAATGTCGATCCTTTGTGCGCATTTGACATTGTGATGTGGTTGAAGGCTTTTTTGAAGATCCGCTGATGCTGAATATTTTTAAATCCCCGGAGAGATTCCAGACTGTACTGTAAGCTGATGTAAATGTGTAGATGAGAGGAGAGCGGGCTGATGCTGAATGTTAAGTGTTAGTTCCTCATGTGACCAGCAGGGGCACTGTGGTGAAGTGCTGTTCTCCACCACGCCTCATCCCTCATTCTGGTGGCTGCAAGGAGGCAGTTCTTTCTGCTGACGGTCTGTGTGTGTCTGTGTGTGTCTGTGTGTGATGTGTTCCTCTTCTGCATATGAGCCTGTCTTTTGTGTTGTGGTTTGCTGTGGCAGTTTGTATACAAAGAATCAGCTTGTAATATTTCATTTCATATTTGTCATGTTTTCATTATGACAGTTTACTCTTTTTTTTTTTCAAATGCAAAAAAAGTACGATTTTGTTGACACTTAGACATCACTAGATTTATTGAGGTACAATGCATATGCTTTTTGCAGTTCTAATTTATTCACAGCATTGTGCAAAAGGATAAATGCACTCTTATTTACAACAAACAGAAACTTTCTTTGGATAGAGCTGTGCACAACAATACTGCAGTACATATTGCAACTGAATCTACAACATGTGTAACGGAGGCCAGCTAGTAAGTGCTGTGCAGGTAAACCTCACTCCTCTGACCTCTAAAGGTGCTCTAGCGACAGATGCTAGAGGCCATGGTCTTTAGCCTCCTTGATAGAGCAACCGACTCCCATGCGGAAGATCGCCGGTTCGAAACCAGCTCGGAGCGGGTTGGATGGTGTAGGACCAGCGGGGTTACATTGGTGCCGTGACCCGGATGGGAGTGAGGTTTAGGGGGGTGAGTGACCAGCGGGGTTACACATGCATAGGTCTGTAAATCATTCATGAAGATCTATTTAGAATACATTTTCAAGAAAATAAATGTATATTTTTTTATAAAATTAGCTTGACAGATTTTGACAACTAGATCATCATTTTTGTATGTAATGACTCAAGTAATGAAATGAGGACAGTTAGTTTTATATGTAATGACTATTCAGCATTCACAAATTTAGTTCATTTTGACTGACATGACAAGCAAATGATAATGTTTTAAAACAGCAGAGAGTTGTATGAAAGCAATTGATGCATGTCCAAAAGCATTCACAATATGTTGGAAGGAATGAGAAACTGCTATTATGATGTGCACAAATGTCTAATTGTTTTGAGAAATGCATTAACTGTTGTGCAAATGTAAATAGTGTATGAGAGATGCACCAAAGCGACTGAGAAAAACTGTAAAAGTTAGGCACAAGCATTTAATACGCTTTGTGTTTAAGAAAATACTTTGGTCTTTGAGGTGGGATATGATTGTAAAGGGCTTGGGTGGTCAACAATACATAAATGCTAAAATATAAATAAATATTCATTAACTAATGGTTATTATGGCTTCTAATTTTATTATTTTGTCCAATGAATTAATACATATACAGTAATATTAACTATGAAATAATAGCCTGCAAAATAGTAATGATCCATTTGGAGTCAAGTTCCAAGTGGAGTCTTTAGTAAGTGCAAAATATTGTGCTGGTTTGACTGATGTAAATTTTCATATTGTACAAGTACCAAATTGAAAGTGCACTTATACCATAAGTTGATAAACATACACATGCTCAACTGATTTGTAAAAGGGCCACAAAACATAACATATTACCCTGGAAGGGTTATTAAAAGCGTTTCAGTTTTTTTGGGGGCTTGAGTTTAACCCTAAAATTAAAGATCAGTCTTAAGGCATGTTTGGTTTTGCTGTGATTTTTTTTTTTTTAGATAATAGTATAAATTTAAAAACTGATTTAAAACACTGAACTTTTCTTGTTTTGTTTCTTACAGAGACAGGATAGCTACGAGTCTCGACCAGCACTGTTTCCAAGGTCGGTGGAATCAAATAGCTTCATATTTTCTTTGTGCCAAACTTGCGTTTAGCTTTTTTAACACCTTTAAACCTCCTGTGAAGTTCTTTTAAATGTCACAAAGATGCGGTGGTACAGTAAGAAGGTCGCTGGTTCGAGCCTTGGCTTGGTCAGTTGGCATTTCTCCCTGCATTCGCATGGGTTTCCTTTACGTGCTCCGGTTTCCCCCACAAGTTCAAAAGACATTTGGTACAGGTGAATTGGGTAAGCTAAAATGGTCTATAGTGTACTGTGTGTGTGAAAGAGTGTATGGGTGTTTCCCAGTGATGGGTTGCAGCTGGAAAGGCATCCGCTTCTTAAAACATATGCTGGATAAGTTGGCGGTTCATTCCGCTGTGGCCAGATTAATAAAGGGACTAAGCTGAAAAGAATATGAATGAATAAAGACCCTTTAATCCCCTTTAAAAAAAAAAATAGGCCTCTTCACATTTCCAGGTTTCTCAGTAGCGGAAGTCATCATAGTTGGGTAAACTTAGAGCACAGTGAATAGGAGAGTTGAACAAATAATTTGTTTACCATCTTATTTGGTGAAATAATGAAAGAAAAATGCTATGATAGTGTTATCAAAACTTTTAGAAAAAAGAAAAAAATTCTGTTTGGTTGATGAGGGCAGCCAGAGGAGAGAATAATGACAAATTTACTATCCTGTCCCATAGATTATGCAAAGAAATGCCTCACACATGTGGTAATTCTTTTGTAATTTGAAGAAAAAAATGATATAATACATATTTATATATATATATATATATATATATATATATATATATTTTTTTTTTTTTTACTATATTTTTTACATTTTTATAATACTTTTTATTTTTTTTTAATCTAAATATAAAAAATTTCAATGATTTAAGTTGCTGATGACCGTTAATTGCATCCCAACAGGCTTGTGAAAAGGGTTCTTTAGCATTTATATTTTATCACAGCTCTGTCAGTGAGAGTGTTTGAGCATCAAATAAAAATAAAATGAAAAGCATCTTGAAGGGGCAGGACATGTCAGATACTAGAGGGAGCATTTGATTGGCCAGAAGATGTGATGAGAAATTATGAGGTGATGTCAAATCTTTTATCCAACTATAAGTTTTGGATGTTTATATCTCCCTAATGTGAATTTCATCGCCGTTTTGTTGCACAATACCTTATAAGACAAATATACAGATAACAACTAAAAATATATATATTCATTTTAATTTCATGGTGACTTTAATAGATCATCTGTATTGCAGATGTGTGTTTAACATCATCATATCTCTCTCCTTTTTCTTGCAGAGGCACAAATCCATTTGCCACAGTCAAGCTGAAACCCACCAAAACCAATGACCGATCAGCTCCTCGCATATGAATCCTTCATCCAATGGCAGATCAGCGCCTTCACAATTATTCAATAGCTAATCAGCGCCGCACATTTTACTGTACATTGTTTCCGCCACATTCAAAAGCATTAATTTTCCAGCATAATCAGAACAAAGCATCACATTTGAGACAATACAACTCAACAATGATCAATGAGCAGTCGTAACGTACCTTTATCTGCAGGCTGTTGAAGAATTGGAGGCAGCAAACTCTATTAATAACACTCCTTGATATGCAATGGGCGCCATAAAGTATCTGGACAACTAAATCCACGCTTAAATGGTGTGAATTTTGTGGCGTGGAATAATTAAACAAGTACTGCAGGTGGTTTTTTATTGGATGTTGAAGCCAGATCAGAAGTTCACCCAGGTGTCCTGTAAGATTAACCACAGGTGCAGTTCATCACTGTAATTAACGGCATTTTGCACTAATGGAGGGTTTCAAATGCAATATATTGCTCTCTAAAGGGAATCCCAGAGAGAAAATGATGGACGTCATATTTAAGTGCCCTTTTAAAGCAAAGTGTTTAAAACTGGCTACTTTGAAGAGCCCTTTGAAATGAATGATCCTTTGAGCAGGGAAGTTTTTTGACATCGAACAACCCTTGAAAGAGCTTAGGATACAGGAATGAGCCCTTCTAAGGGAAGCATGCTACAACATTAGATTTTTATCATTTGAAAGCAAAGAAATGTTAAAAAGGCTCTTTTTGCGAAATGTTTGGTTTGAAAGGAGCAAGAAATGGTGATTTTTTTAGTTTAAAAAAAATATGCACTTGGTTTAATGTCTCCTCATTTTTTTAAATCTGGAAATGTAAATAGAAGATAACTCAAACACTTCTAAGTGCTTAGAATAGATAAATGCATATGAGATACATCTACATACATATAATCGTACATAATTTGTACTCTGTAGGTGAATATCGTTGTTAAAGCATCACTGAATGCACTTTATGAATGTATTCTGTCATATTATTTGCCACCAGGGCTGGTTTAACTACAGTTGTATGTGGTTTGACCTCTGAGACCCAGCGGCTTCTCTGATAAGCGACCATTGGCCTCTTTTTCTCCCGCTCTATGCTTGAACTTTGTCTCTCGGCTCAGTTAATCCATCTGACGGGCCCAATTATAAAATGCCCTTAAATTGGCTGCTCTGTCTGCTTAAGTGCCTATAAAGCGAATGTTCATTTTAACCTTGACAGTAATTGGTGTGACCTTCTCCTGAGGTGTCAGAGCCATTAGTACAAGCCCATTTGTAGGGATGTCTTGCATCTCATCAGCTACTTCTTTTTTTTTTTTTTTTGAGAATATTTTTCTGTTTAATTAATGCTGATTATTCGAAACATAAACATGCACCTATATGTGCACCTGTGATTTACACTTGTTAGGCTTTGACTAGAGAACACAAGGACAAGATGCAGAGGACATCACATGTGATATATCTTCTTGATCTTGTTGTTAAATTAAATGTTTGAAGTTAATGTCTCTGAAAGGGTCATTTTTAAAGAGTTTGTAGGACAGGTCGGCTTTGATGCGTAATAAATGTATCAAATGTGTCTTTCACATGCAGTTTTTACTTTCAGTATGACTGACTGTTGCTTAAAGATAAATTTGGCTTTCTTCTGAGAAATATTCACTTTCTCTTCCTCTGTTTTTTTTTCTTTTATTTTCTCAAATGATTTGAATGAGTTGATTACATTCAGAATTCCCAAATGCAGACATCAGTTCAATTTCAATTCAGTTCCTGTTTCGTAATAGATTCATAATGTTTTTTGAAATGTTTGTGCAATTAAAAAAATAATTAATTGGATTAAATAATAATAATAATAAATCATTACTGAAGCATCTCTAACCTTATTCGTTTTTAACATTATAAACTCTAGATGACATACAGTTGAAATCAGAATTTTTAGCCCCCCTGAATTATTAGCCCCCCCCCCCCAAATTTCTGTTTAATGGAGAGATTTTTTCAACACATTTCTAAACATAATAGTTTTAATAACTAATCTATAATAACTGATTTATTTTATCTTTGCCATGATGACAGTAAACAACATTTGACTAGATATTTTTCAAGACACTTCTATACAGCTTAAAGTGACATTTAAAGGCTTAGCTGGGTTATTTAAGTCAACTAGGCAGGTTAGGGTAATTAGGCAAGTTATTGTATAATGATGGTTTGTTCTGTAGACTAGCAAAAAAAATTGCTTAAAGAGGCTAATAGTTTTGTCCCTAAAATGGTTTAAAAAAAATTTAAAACTGCTTTTATTCTAGCCGAAATAACACAAATAAGACTTTCTCCTAAAGAAAAAAAATATTATCAGACATACTGTGAAAATTTCCTGAATCTGTTTAACATCATTTGGGAAATATTTAAAAAAGAAAAACAACTTTAAAGGGGGCTAATAATTCTGACTTCAACTGTATATAGTAAAGCCCAAAGTGTCTTCTTTCCAAAAATACATTAACTGTGATTGTAGACAAAATTATTTAGCAATTGTTACTGTTTTAGTTTGGTAAGGTCAATTTTTGAGAATGTGCCTCTGACGGTGAGGGAAAGAAGGCCACAGATAGTCTTGGAAAACCTTTTACAGAAATCTTATTTTAAAAGTGAGTTCATCAAATTTTAAATATAATCTCATGAGACATATAGCATTCAAGGCATATTTTTTTCTAGGTAATTAAATGAGTTTTCCTGTATTTGTATATGGAAAAACAAATATTGAACACAGCACTATTTTTCTTTCTCTTGACTTCATAATGTACAACTTTTTATATTTTTTAGCATGAAACTCTAGATCCCATTCCCAACTTTCTAGATCCATCCCATTCTGAGCCGGAATCGAAGTAGTGATTTTTTGTATGGGAGGTCGATTGCTCTAATAAGAAGGCTAAAGACAATGGGCTCTAGTGTCTGTTGCTAGAGCACCTTTAGGGCCTACTCACACTATGCTAGCCGAACCATGCCCAGGCCCGTTTCCTGGATCATTTGATAAGTGTGAGTGCGCTGAATTAGGCTCATGCATGGTTCACTTGGCCGGCCCTGGCCCGGTTGGAAGAGGTGGGCCTGAGCGCGGTTCACTTGGGCTTTGGCGCGGTACATTTGTAGTGTGAGTGCAAAACGCGTCAAAGCCCGAAACTGAAAGCGAGACGTGACTTTAAGGGACTGTTTCATATGGATTTATTAATCATTCTTACTGTTCAATGAACACAAACTGCCCTAGATCATTAAAGACGCAAACCCCTCACTGCATGACAGCTGCGCACCTTCAGCAGACCTCCTCGTTCCTGCAGCACGAGGGCTTTATGATTGTTTATGAGCGTCAAAAGTGGCGGATCTGTTCGGCAAAATATCTGTCTGCGTGTCACCGCATGCCTAAGGACTGTTTGGCAAAATATTTGACTGCATGTCACTGCATATCAAACAACTGAAACTATATAACTAGAGAAATCTCCACTGTGCTAAGTGAGAGCGCTTACTGAACAGCGCAGCATCGATAAACGTGCCCAGGCCAGATTGTAGTGTGAGTGCGGGTCATCTGGGGAGACAGGAGGGGGGACAAGTGTGCTTTGGCCCGGTTCGAGGCAACTGTACATAGTGTGAGTACGGCCTTAGACGTCAGACGAGTGAAGTTTACTTGCATAGCAACCCACTGGTCCTACTACACCCATCCCGGTTCGAGCTGGGACCAAACTGGTGATTCTTGTCACCAAGTATGTTATGAGTAGTATGGACAAAATTTTTCCATTTTCCATTTTTCCGTATTACGTCCGCCATTTGTCATTATAAAATGACTTACATTGATCAGTTCCATTGTTTTTTTACCACTTGTCTTGCATGGCCTCATGGGATATTAAATTATCCATTGGGTATGCACTTAGTAGTAGGTCATCCTACTTATCGCCTACTATACATTTTAAACATACTACTCAGCTCATGATTTCGGACGCACCCTCAGTGTACATTTGGCTATTTACACAAGAATGACGACAAAGAGATTGACGACACACTGGAACTCTTGAGGCTTTGTCTCTTTATTGAATTTTCTTTCACAACTTGACCTCTTTCTTGGTTTAGTGTGTTTCAGAAGGGGGAGAGGAGGGAGCGGAGGAGAGAAAGATGAACAGGCCAGATTAAGATAAACACAGACAAACAATAGTGGCCAATGGAGAGTGTGTCGTTTTCTTTTCTATTATATCTACATATTGCCAGCATGAGGTTTTGCCCTGTTAAAGGTCTCTTTATCTATACACTAGCAGAAACACTCACTTCTGTAGAAAAAGGAAAATAAATAGCCTAATTAGTGTGTGTGTGTGTGTGATGGGGTGATGTTTTTTAAGAGGGGGCATTCAAGCATGTGAGTGTATGGTGTGTAAGTGAGTGTGTGTGCGCTTCAGGGGCGTGTTAGGCTGAGCTTGAGGTCAAAGGGACATGAGGTACAGTATGGACAGGCCAAGAGTCCTTTTGTCATTTATTCACGAACCAGAGCAGCAAACTCTGAAACAGAAAAAGCATTGAGAGAGAATTAGTGTTTTTTTTAAGAACACTTTGCATAATGTGGTTCAGTTGAGGTGTCTGGTTTATATATATGAAATGTGTGAAATTTTATATATGAAATATATATGCCGTGTGAAATTTCCATTGAAAATTACAAATTTTCTCAGCCTCCTTTGTTTATGTTACTCAATATGTTTTTATGTGCAATATGTTTTTTTTTATCTTAAATGGGTGGTCCACTACGATATCCTATTTTAAACATCAATTTTTAGCTTAGCAGAGTTAGCTTAGCAAAGCTTACAGTGAGCAAAGTTAGGAGCACTACAAAAATTACATCTGGGTTTACGATGTCATAAACCCTTCAGTTTATACCCTAGGAGACGCACAGGAATGGGACGTGGTTACAGAGACATTGTAACGCAAATAGTAAAGAAAGTATTTGCTTTTGACAAAGGACAGATTCCATAATCTCTCTCAATTCAGTGCTAGATTTGGCCAAAAACTCCTTAAAGAAGGAGAAGTTCCAATGATAAGAAGCTGTGGATTGTTAGCCACAACCTGAAAGTATTTTATTTGTTAAAATTTACTTACATGAATTCTAGTGATTCTAGTGTTTACTGTATGGTGTGGCAAGGACGTAAACGAGGATGTAAAGAAAGGGAAGCATTTGGCACCGCTAACAGTTTAGCTTAACAAATTCATATTTATCCATCAGACCCCTGCAAACACCCACAATCTCCACCGGTATGTGCAATGTCTCTTTATGTGTCTGTTTTCCGTGTGTTAAAATAATGAACTTGAGTTTTCTGGTGATGTGGAGCTGATTCGCGAATCAGAACACATTAGACTACCTGACCAATCAGAGTACATTACGGGCGGTCCTTTGGAGGAACCAGGAAATAGGATAGTTGTTTTCATGTTAGCTGAGTAGCAGTAAAAAACATAAAATAACATGATATTAATTACTAATGAAGCACGAGCTCACTTTGTTTTGCACTCCATAAACAGATAAAGTCTAACTAAACACTCTGGACCAACCCTTTAAAACATCACTAGTATAGCAGGTTTTCTTGTTATTGCTCTTTAACAGCAAAAGAATGTACAAAAAGGCCTTCACTTGCTAAAGAGTAAAAACTCTTCATTAGATGACAGACAGCATGCTGTAGATTGTGTACCACAGCTATTGCCTATCAAGTGAGTTAGGACTCCCACTGGTGCCCCCCCCAAAATAAGTGTGTGACTCCTTAGTGTTACGCTTCAATCCTTTCATTTTACCTTCCGCTCCAATCTTTCCATCTCCATCTTTGTCCGCAGCCTGCAGGAATGCTTTGGTCTCCTTATCGGTCAGGTCTCTCCCGTCTGTGGCAAAGGCCTTCAGAACAAACCTGCGCAGAGGCGAGTGAGTCTAACACCTTTCAAACGTCCTGTGTGTTTTCTTTTATTGTTAAAGTTTCAATTACTGAACAAATGTTAAAGGTTACAAGCAAACACTTTTTTTTTGTAGCGTACAAATGAAATATATCGTACTTAAGTTCTTCTTCCTCAATAAACCCGCTATTGTCGGCATCCAGGAGGTGGAAAGCCTTCTTCACATCGTCAGATGCCTTCGCCTTAAGTCCGACCATCTCAAAAAAACTCTTGTGGTTGAATGAGTCGGGAGCTAGGAGAGGATCACAAACATTGAGAGAATATCGATATATTGTGGGAAAATTAGGAATTATTTGCCTGAAATTGACCATCACATCATCATTCATTCACTCTTAAGGTTTTCTTTAGTTGGTAAAATATACACACATATATAGTGCCCAGCATAAATGAATAAACCCCTCATAGATCAAATTCCTATTTCACACAGGATGCTTTACAATAAATAATTTGTGTATAGATCAGCCATTACCAAAGACAAAACTAGAACGAATTTAATATAATAACAAAGAAATAAAGATCATGGTCCTAAAATCAGAACACCCAAATTAATATGTCAGGGAAAATATCAAATACAATTTTAATAAAGGGAAAAAAAGCAAAAGAAAGTAAAAAAGTACATAAATAAAAAGCAGTAGTTTGTAATTATTATTTTTTAAATAACTCATTTGAATTTAAGTGAAGTTTATTTATAAAGTAATTTCAAGAAGATCACATGCTTAAGATTGTTCATGTCTGGTCTTGCATTAGCTTTCGTTTGATTCACCAATTAGACGATTCCTAATTCACTATAAATGATCAGAGATTCTTATCACAATATCTTCATCTTGAAGAATCCCCCCACTCACCCCTACTCCCCCTCCTTTCTAGACACAGAGGCTCATTGTTGCCTCACAGCAAGAATGTCTCTGTTTAAAGTTCCCACCAAACCAGCTAACATTTCTGTGTGGAGTTTGCTCGATCTGCCCATGCTTGCGTGGGTTTTCCCTGGGTTCTCTGGTTTCCTCTCACAGTCCAAAAAACAAGAAACTTAAATAAAATTGAACATACCAAGTTGGCATCATAGTCAAGCTCTTAGCAAGCTGTATATCTCTCCTTAGCTAGCTCTATATTTGTCATTAGTCAGAAATAAGTCGGGGGAGTTCATTGAGATCTACTTGAGCTCAAACTCGTCTCTTGCCCTGCTAACAAGAGGGAGCCCAGGGCTTGAGGATCTTTTAAGCTCAGGGCTCTCTCCCCGGACAACATGCCAAACAAGCCTAATATCAATCATCAGCTAAGTGCTAACTCTTAAATTGAATTTTTTTTCTATTCCTAATGATATTCGGTGCCCTTCGGTGTCTTATTTTAATTAATATAACGATTTAATAAAACAGTTTTTTTAATGCATTAAAATGTATTTTCTACTTTCCCTAAGAAATTGATATAAAAAAAAACAAATATATACACATAACCAGACAAAAGTCTTGTGGCCGATCCAAGAGTTAGGAACAGCAAATAATAACTTGACTTTTACTTGATCATTTGGCATCAGAAGTGGCTTATATGAAATGCAAAGGCCTCTAGATTACACTTATTTTACCAAAATAAAATATGATTATGCTTTGATTTTTAGCTATTTTATTAGGACAGTAAGGTTTGAGTTTGCTTAGACAAAAGTCTTCTCAACAGAAATTATGTACAGTATAGAATATAAGTCATTGTGCAATGGAAAAAAAAAATTATGTATGACTCCCATGAGCTTGGAAGACTGCATCAATACAACTCTGCAATGACTCAAATAACTTCAGAATAAAGTCATCTGGAATGGCAGAGAAGGCCTTCTTGCAGGACTCCCAGAGTTCATCAGCACTCTTTTGATTCATCTTTAATGCCTCCTCCTCCATCCTACCCCAGACATCCTCAATAATGTTTATGTCTGGTGACTGGGCTGGCCAATCCTGGAGCACCTTGACCTTCTTTGCTTTCAGGAACTTAAATGTGGCGGCTGAAGTATGAGAAGAAGCGCTATCCTGCTGAAGAATTTGTCCTCTCCTGTGGTTTGTGTAATGTAATGAGCAACACAAATGTCTTAATAACTCAGGCTGTTTATGTTGCCATCCACTCTGCAGATCACCCCCATACTGAATGTAACCCTATAATTTTCCTTTATCAAACTTGACGGATTTCTGTGGAAATTTAGGGTGCATTTGGGTTCCAGTAGGTCTTCTGCAGTGTTTGTGATTATTGGGATGCAGTTCAACAGATGATTCAATGAAAAAATCTACCTTCAGCCACTTTTCCAAATGATCAACTAGAAGTCAAGTTATTACTTATTGGTCTTACAACTTAGATAGACGATTAGACTTTTGTCAGAAAGTGTGTATATATACAGTATATATAAATGTAATCGTGGATTTCAGATATGCTCTATGATAGCCCTTAAAAATTAGGTGATTTTAGACATTTTACACAAAGTTTTACATTAATTCTAAAATATTAACACATATTTATGAAGGTAATTTTTCTTCAAATCACATTTTTCAGTGTTGTTGTATATTTGGAGGACTTTGGTGTTTTACAATCACCTTTACATGCGTCCAGGGCTTTCTTAATATCATCATGGTTGAGGATGCTGCTCATCGCCATTTCTGCAACTGTAAAAAAGAAGCACAGACAGAAAAAACTAAGAAAAAAAATCAACAGTGATACACTGTATAGTAGAAAAACAACAATGCAGCATAGTAGAGATCAGGACGAGAAGGAATTGATCAAATGCCTTCAAAAAGTCATAAATTATGAACTAGTGTCGAGGGAAGAGAGAAGCTGAACACCTGACATGCGTATATGTGTGTGTGAGACTCTTTTTAATCCGAGAGAAAAACATCTTGCAGGCTTCTACATCTGCCATCTCATCCTGCAATACTAAAGCTCAGATGCCCACAATCCTTTAGTGATTCCACACACGCGGACCCAACATTTACTACCACTCTCTTTCTCTATCCTTTCACAGGCTCAACTAAGCCAATTAAAAAGGTGAAATTAGCATCCGACTGCCTGAGATATAACAGCTATCAGATGTATGCTGATTTCAAATGGTCATCGAGATTGGCTTCGCATCATTAAAGTCTGGCTTCAGTCCAAAGATTCCGAGCCGAGAGGCAGAGATCAAGATCAAAGATTGCTGGAAATATGTTTTTAATCAGCACACATTCACCAAACACTTCCTCAGAAGACCACGCACAGATTTAGACTTTGATAGTAAGTTAATAGACTTTACTACTCAGTTCTTGAACGTTCTTAAAGAGACAGTTAACCATATGTAAATTAATAAAGATATAGTTTTACACAAGATTTGGGTTATGTAGTGCTTAACAAATGTTTTTACTGTTATGATACCTTTAAATTTATTTTTGTCATTTTTATAGCTCTACAAACTTGATAACACTTCCACTATATCAAATATTTATAGTTATAAAGTTTAGAACAATGTTGATTTCAACTTACTATTATGCTACTTTTCTTTGTTTTGGTACGACAATCTTTTCGAAAGCTTAATATGTCATTGTGATCCACACGTCTTCTTATTTCATCTTATTTGTTACTGGGAAAAGATACTGAAGATAAATTTGTTAGACTCAACGTCTTATACAAAGTGTGTAAAGCAATTAAATTCCTCCACACACTTTTTAAAATTACTTTTAAAAAGTTTTTAAACTCCCCTACCAGCCTTTTATGCTGGAATGCTCCACAATCTAAAATATAATGGCTTTTTAATCTTTTTACTTCCTCTATGTTAAGCTTCTTTGACACAATTTACATTGTAAAAATCTTTATAGAAATAAGGATGAATTAATTATATTGACGTCATTCATTAGCCAACATTGAATAACTAGAAACATATTAAAATATTTTCAATTAAATACTTGACAATTTCCATGTTATCTACAGCAGGGAAAATAAGTATTGAACACGTCTTTCTCAGAAAATTTATTTCTAAAAGGTGTTGTTGACTTTAAATGTTCCCCAGATGTTGGTAATAACCAAAGAAATTCATATATGACATAGACATAGACAACAAAACTAATTAGTCTACAAATTAAGTTGTGTAATAATAGGAAGTGACGCGGAAAAAAAAATTGAAAACATGAAGAAAGGGAGGTGTGGAAAGGCAGTGAAAGCCCAGACAGCAGCTGAAATCTCTCAGTAGTTCTTCAGCAACCCTCTGCCCTCGGTCAGTGTAAAATAATATTAGCTGCTTCAGTCCAACATCTACATTACCAGAAGGATGAGGACCAAACCAGAGTGGAAATTTCAGCAAGACAATGATCCAAAACACAGCCAAAGAAACTCTCAAATGCTTTCAGACAAAGAAAATCAAGCTGTAGAATGGCCCAGCAAATCACCAAACTTAAATCCAATAGAAAATACAAATTAAAGATCAGATCTTATAGACAAGACCCACAGAACAATCAAAATTGTTTGAATCAAATCAAAAAGTCTGAAAAAAAAATAATCAAAAAGTCTGAAAAAAAAAAAAAATCAAGCAAATCACTTGACTTTATTCTCCGTTTGAGAGGCAAAAGAGAACCCCAAAAAAAGCCTTTTATATAAAGTATTAAATAAGTTTCAGTAGTTCAGTACTTTCTCCTTGTGTTATACCATTCTTATTACACATAACTAATCTTTCAGAATTTTTTTGTTTTGTTTTATATTTATGTTTGTATTGTTTGGGTTTTTACCAAAATCTGGTTAAATCCCATGTCAACAGCTCCTTTAGAAATATTGTACCCAGGAAAACGCATGTGTTCAATACTCATTTTCCCCACTGTTTATAATTCACATGATAGGTAACTCTGCAATATTACCATAATCCAAATCCACAATTTAGGATGACAACAATAAAATTTTACCTGACCAATAAACTTTTAATAGTATAACAATGGAAAATACAATTACTAAAAACATTAGAAATACATCGTCAGCAAATGTAAGAGCCTTAAAAAGATTTCAACACAAGTCACAACTAGCGTATTCATTCTTCAGAAAGTTTTTAGCTGTTCTCTCTGCGTCTTTCTACTTTATTGCGTTGACCGATTGATAGACCTTCACCTGCCCACGGTGAAAAAAATCCACAGGATTTTTTCTATCTGGCGGAAGGCAGGTGCAGGTGCACAGTGAAAGTACAGCTTGTATTTTTGCCTTTAGCTGGCTCCTCAATGCATTGATCTGGATCAGGTGGAGGTCAGATGTGCTAAAACAAGCTTCAGCACTGCTGACTGGAATTCAGCGCGACTGCTGACTGTCCTCAATGACGTCTGGTACAGCGAAACCTTTCTGCTCACTGATTATGTAGAAGTAATGCAAATACAGTGTTTTATAAACTGCAGACACATTCGAGATATACGAATTTTAGATCTATCTGTCTGTCTGTCTGTCCGTCCGTCCATCCGTCCGTCCGTCCGTCCGTCCGTCCGTCCGTCCGTCCGTCCGTCCGTCTATCTATCTATCTATCTATCTATCTATCTATCTATCTATCTATCTATCTATCTATCTATCTATCTATCTATCTATCTATCTATCTATCTATCTATCTATCTATCTTATCAAATGCCTTTCAATATAATAATTTATTATCCTTGCGTTTTCATGTCCCATTTGCTACCACAAACATTCAGTTACAATGGATTTTAATAAGCATCAGACAGAGAAAAGAAATACACACGGACATGAAGACAGGTAGGCTAAATAAAGCAGCAGGTAAATATCATTCCAGTAATACGATATAGAGTATCAGAAACGTCACAGACCACAAAGCCTGAATATTTCCCATACTTTGCTGACTGGATTTGCTCCATGTGCATAAAACCGAGGAGATTACATTGTGCAAACTGAGCAAAATGTTAAATCCGTTCCTTTCTGAACAAAATAACATTTTTCCTTAACTCTCATAAACCTGACACAGACTTTCAGCGAAAAATGCTCTGCTTTGTGACCCTTGATGAATAATTCAACCCTAATGAGAGAAGTTTTTAAACAGGTGCTCATGGACATATTGTTCTAGCTGTGAACATGGACCTCAGCTGAGGTGTCAATGTTATTAATGCAGGTCCTTCATGAGGTCAAAGGTGTGAGACATTGGCAACACAAAGACGAGCGAGAGACAAAATGTCCTAGTTGGTTCCTTTTGTTGTTGTTGTTTTTAGAGGGCTTAACTGCACCTGTTTTAGAAAATAAAACCAAGTCCTGCTCCAGGCTTAGATTAAAGTGTGTCTTAACAGAATCAGCTTTAATCAAAGCACACCGTAAATATCATCCATCTATACAAACGCCTTTTATTTTTTCCTCCTGATTACAGAGATGAGATCGACTGTCTTTGATATCTCTCTTCACCCTCCCATCACTCTTCTGATACACATCTCACTTTAACCATCTCATTCTCTACGTTCCCAGCCTCGTTCATTCTTCTTTGTTAAAATAACTCATTTAGTCAGCATGAAATACATTAGCAAGGCCTTTTTTTGTTATATATATCGTGTTGCTTTATTTGTTTGTTACTTTCAAACAAACTTAGTAAGAGTCTCAAAGTCTAAATTTAAAGATAATATGTTTAGATACTGTAGATGTTAATGTGACCATGCAGTGGACATTTAAATAGTATTTCAATACCAGCCCACAAAGGGTCAAGTGCTATCAAAATGCAACATGCTAACATATCCCAATTTTAGCATAGTATTATGCATTCCAGTGGATATATTCTTCTATTATTAATAAAGAGCATACTTCATGTATTGTACAAGTATATCAGTTAGAACGATATATTTGCATATCAATATCAAGTAAATCAATTAAAGTTAAAAAAATTAAAAATAAAAGAAAGATAATGGGTAGTTGTTCAGTAAAGCATTTTTGTGTGTTCAAAAAATGTTGAGTGTTCAGAGCCTCATCATTCTGCTGCTGCTGGCATTCTAAAAAACATGACACTTCCATTTCCATTAAGTTCCAAAACAACTGAAAAAAATACACTTATCTTGGGGAAAAACAAATATTGGGTGGACAGGACAGATTAAAAGCACTAAATAAGAAACTAAATAATTAAACTACAAACTGTATTAGAAATACACCAAGTACGCTAAAATGTACTTAAGCAAAATGTACTAAAAATTAACAAAAAATGTACATTAAAATGTACTAAAATGTATGTTTAAAAATCACATTTTAAGTTTATTTTCTGTCATGTGAATCAAAATAATTAATTATATAATTTTACGTAATTTTACTAAACATGAACCAACAATGAAAAATATTCCTAAAGTCTTTATTAAATGTTTAAATAAACATAATTATATGTAAAAACTTAAATTGCATTGATAAAAATATATAACTATGGTTAAGTGCGCTGACATATAGCCCCATGGTGCTCACTGCGACCTGAGTTCGATTCCTGGCTCGAGGTCCTTTGCTGGCCCTTCCCCACTCTTATTCCAATACTTTCCTGTCTGTAACCTCCACCAACCTTTCAAATTAAAGGTGAAAATCCCTAAAAATAATAATTATATATAATTACAAAATAAAACAAATTGCGAAAACATAAGGTTATGGCCAGTAATAAATTTTAATTTAAACAAATTATTTTAGTTTTTACCAATAATTATTT